GGCGGGAGGGGAGGGAGGGGAGGGATAGGTTTGAGTTTCTTTTTTGTTGCTCTTTTGTGAAGGGCCTTTGGAAAGGATTAGAATTGTGTAGGAGAGAAAAGGCCTTTATACTTTTTGATCGCTTGATAATTCTGTAGCCATAATATTGTAGTCCTTGGCAAAGTAGCGAAATAAATATAAACTCTCCCCTTAAGGTACTCGGAGTTTTATAGAGAATACAACACTTGTGCAGAAAAAAAGTGTGGTTCAAGGTAGAAATTTCCAGTACCATGAGAAAACACTAAAAGACACCCTAGGAGGGAGAGATTATTGGTAGCTTTTGGGGTAGAGATGGACACACCAGCTGTCATTTAGAGTCCTCATTAGAAGTAGTGTTTGAACTGGGCTTTGATAGAATTTGGAGATCTAAAAATGGTTAAAAAGCTTCCCAGACAGAGAAATATGAGAAGTGACAAGGCCCGCTAGTGGCTCAGCTGCATGGAAGATCAGGATGAAGAATTAATGTTTTTGTGCCAGTTAATGAATCTTTTTAAATGGTAGGCCAAGAAATTGGGCTTCATTTTGAAGGCAGTGGGAAGCCTTAATTTTTGAGGGAGAACATTTTTAAAAAAGAAAAAAATGTTCTTCAGGAACATTAATATGGCAACAGCATTGAAGTCGAGGAGAATAATTACGTTATTGCTACAGTACCAAAAAAGGCTAACAAAAAATGTGAATTTGAGTAGTAGCAGAAGTGAGAAAAACAACAGAGAAAATGTGAGAAGTGTTATGGAGTTAGAATCCACAGGAAGAGCCTGCTGATTGTTTGTATATAAGGAGGAGGGAGAGGACTCAGTGAGGGAAAGACTTAGGCCTCAGACCTGATTAATGGAGAGTTGTGTCATTTATTGAAAGAAATTGCAGGACAAGAAACTTTTGGGGAAGATAAGTCATAATCTAAATTTTAGTCATAACTGAACTTGACATACTATTAGGATAATCAGGCAGACATTTCTGTGAAGCAATTGGAAATGTGAAATTCAAGCTTAAGAAAGATTGAAGTGGAGATAAACATACGAAATCATCTGCCTAGAGATGATATTTGAAAACATAATATATAGGGGTGAGCAAAAGTAGGTGTACAGTTGTGACTACTCAAAACACAGAGTTAATATAGCTGTTGTAATAATCGTAACCGGCATGTCTTTTTCCACATGAACAACTATAAACCTACTTTTGCCCACCCCTGTACGTACGATTACCAAGGAAGAAATTGGTACCAGAACTAATGAAGATAGACAAGGACAGATACTTGGGCAATACCAAGAACAACAGGGATGAGAAGATAAACCAGAGAACGAGTAGTCACAGACAGAAGAGAAATACCAGAAAAGCTAAATATAATAGAACTCAAGGAGGAGAAAATTTTTTGAAAGGGGGAGTAGATAATATATTCACTTGGCCAGCATTCACCGAGTACCTGCTCTCTCTCAGGCACCACACTAGACACATGGTTGCAGCAGTAGGTAAGACCAGTCTAGTGCTGACCCTCATGGAATTGGCATTCCCATGAGAATGGCAAACACTGTTTACATAATTAACAGTGTAGTAACTATTACAAATAAGTACAGGATGTTTTGGGACCAGTAAGAATAGTGCAGAAAATGAGACTTGAAGGGTAAGATAGGGAATGGGACACTCTACTAAAGTGCTAAGGTAAAAAAGATATGTTGAAATATTTGAAATAAGTCGTGTGGATACAACAGAGTGGGAGTAGCTTGATACTAGGTAACATTTAATGAGCATGTACTCTGTGCCAGGTACTGTCGTAACTGCTTTACACGTACTACAAAATCATGTAGCACATTAGAGACCTTGTTAAGAATCTCGTTCTGTAATCTTTGAACATTGAGAAGTTTAAGGAGCATTTTAAGCAAGTGAGGGAGATGAAAAGATTTGGAGGGCGACAAGAGTGGTTGTGGGGAGACTGACTTAGCTATTGCTGTGGGCCTGATAGTAGATAGAAGATGGTAACTTGGTCTAGGGTAGTGGTAATAAGGGTTGATGAATTTGAGATGTATTTAAGAAGTTTGGTGATTAAATAGGGTTCGGGGGTTGAGGAAGTGGGAGGAGTTAAAGCTGATTCTCAGGTTTCTGGCTGGAGCCTGGTAAGTTTCATTTGAGAAAGGAAATATTAGAGGAAGAGCTAGTTGGAAGATAAGACAAGAGTTTTTGAGTTAGTGGCTCTGTTATGTTGAGTAGGCGGTACCAGTGACATATCCAAGTCAAGCTAGCACTTAAATCTTGGAAGAGACACGTGGGCTGGAGAGATAAATTTATAATCACTGGCAAAAGGGTTTAGATCAAATTGTCTAAGGCGTAATTCTCAAACTTTAGAGTGGATCAGAACAAGAGAGAGGTTTAATGCAGATGTGGGCCCCATTCCCAGAATTTTTTCTTCAGTGGGTCCAGTGCTGGAGACCAAGAGTTTGCGTTTCTAACAGGTTCCTAGGTATTGCTTATGCTGCAAATCCAGAGGATACATTTTGAGAAGGTGTAGAGTGAGACAAGAAGAGACCCAGAACCCAGCCTTGAAGAACTCATTTTTATTTAAATGGAATAAGAGGAACCTACAAAGGAGACTGAAAAGGAAGTAGGAGGAAAAAATGGTATTATGTTATATTTACCTGACTTAGCCTCGAATACTTTGATGAGAGCATTTTCATGGAATGATGGGGCAAAGGCCAAATTGCACGAAATGCAGCATAAGTAGAAGAAACAGAGAGTATAAAATGTAGCCTTTCTGAGGATGTTTTGCTATAAAGTGAAGAAGATAGGATAGAAGAGGCCTGAATATACTTAAATGTCAACGAAAAGATGCCAGTAGAAAGAATGAGACTGTGAGGGTGGGGGTGGAGAAGACAGTAAATAATCCATAGTTTAATATTCCAGAGGGGGAAGGAAGAGATAGATGCAGGTACATGTGGCATTACATGAAGAGTCACCTCCTCATTTATCATTTGGGAACTAGGAAAGGATGATTACAGGTAAATTTGTAGATGTGGTGGCAGGAAGTTAATTTCATTCCTCTCTGACAGCTTCTGTTTTCTCTGCAAGGTTGGTGAGGCCATCTACTGAGAGACAAGCAGTTTCAAGGAAAAGGAAGAACTATAACTGGTCTTTGCAGAAAGCGGGGGAGTTGAACAGAGAGGCATGATAGGATTGCTAAATTGTATCGAGTACCTAGATGAGATTGGTAACTCAGGAGCTACAGAGTGAGTGAGTTCCTCTCAGCTGCACTTAGAGTCTGGATGCAGGCAGGGAGAAGGCAGATAGGCTGTAAAGTAGATGAGAGTATAAGGCTATGGGACAAGGGTGCTTCGAGCACTGGAAATGTCTGTGAAAGGCTGAACCATAGAATGTAAGCTGGTTAGGAAGGAAAATGACATGCTACAAGTAAATCAAGCTGGTAAAAAGATGGAGAAAAAAGATCATTGTTTACTAGTGGGAATGTCTGTGTTACTTATGTACATTTGCCATAGACAATTCCTGGTATGAACTAAGAATTCACTCCCACCAATTCCACCACTACCACGCTGCTAGGTCATTGACATTTTTTTAAAGTAGTAACTATTAACTTTCTGACATTCTTTTTTTAAAGCAATACCTAGATTTTGAATTAAACCTACATTTAAAGCATTAAGTTTCTTTCATTTGTCTATCTGTCTATACATACCACCCCCCTTCCTGCCCAGGACTTTGTCTTCTGGAATTCTAATCTACAGTGAGAATGATGTGTTTCTTTTACAGTCCATTTGCATTATAGGTTTTGGAATATACAGGAAAGAAATTGTACAGAAGTCGCATGGTTTGGTATAACTCCAGGAAAATGAAAATATTTTTGGAAATAATGGAGATAATTGACAAGAGTTGCAGCACAGTTGCTGACCTCTTCAGGACTTCAGTAAAAGGAAAATGAATTTCTTTCACTACATGTACAGTTGCCAATAACAAAGGAGAAGTAGTAGAAACCAGAGAAGGCAATAGAAAATGGGGCGGAAAAGTAAGATAAAAAATTAAAGTATAAAGGATAAAACACATAACCATGAGTGTTTTGTTTTAGCCCCAACTACTGTTTTCTGGTTGGTGAGAGGGGGGAAAAGTTGGGGCAGGAAGGTGCCACTAAGGAGAAAGCAGGGGGAACAAGGAACTGGAGGCGCTATAAACTCAAAGTACAGGTGGAGTGGGAGCAAAGAAATAGAAAAAAGAAAAAGAGCCCAGCCGGGCATGGCTCAGCGGTTGAGCGTCGACCTAGGATCCAGGCGATCGGGGTTCGATTCCCGGTCAGGGCACATGCCCGGGTTGCGGGCTGCAGCTGATCAATGACTCTTGTCATTGATGTTTCTATCTCTCTCTCTCCCTCCTTTCCTCTATCTGAAATCAATAAAGATATATTTTAAAAGAAAAAGAAGAAAAAGAAAAAGAAAGATTGGCTCAGCACCCTGAAAAGTGTCCTGGGTCAAAGCATTGGAGAGGAGTGATGGAAGGTTGTAGTCCAAAACGAGAATTGATTATAGCCAAAGAGGAGGAGAATAGTTGTGGCACATTTCATATTTTATTGCCTGAAAATGAAGCTCCTTGGGGTTGAAGATCTAAACTGAGCGAAGGAAGTTGGAGAAGATATCAACATAGTTGCTAAAATTGCTGAAGATGATGGCAGGGGGTGGGGGGTGGGGATGGCAGGGAGGAAGATGAGCCTGTGCAAATATTTTGTACTTTAGCAACATTGAAGATGCAGATGTGGATTTCAAAAGAGGATGGAGAAAAATGGTGGTCATGGAATATCTTTCCCACAGCAGCAGTATAGAGTAAGGTCTCTGTAGCCCTTTGCTTTTTGAGCAGAAACAAGTCAAAGGAACACTATTTGGGGGAAGGTTGTAAGAGAGATGGGGACGTGTGTAGCTAAAGGTGAACAGGTAGAAGGAGTGCTTGAGAAAAAAGTGAAAAATATATGTTGGTAATAAGTGGGGTCCAGTAGATGATGGCCATCTAGCAATGAAGTTAATGAGAGGGAGAAGGGCTGAGTGGAATGAGAGTACTGGAGGAACTTGCAAGGGGCAGGTAGTTTATACCTTAAAGCAGCCATGATGTGTATATAATAGGGAAAGGGACACCAGAATTTGCTAGGCAGGCTAAAACAGTCATCTCCAAACTTTTCTCATCATTTAGTTAAAAAAAAAACACCAGTTGAACACACTTTCATATGTGTTATCAGTTATATGCATATACTACTATAGCTGTATGGTAATGGTTTGTTTTTAATAAAAATTTAAAAGAAAAATAGCCCTAGCCAGTTTGTCTCAGTGGTTAGAGCATCGGCCTGCAGACTGAAGGGTCCTGGGTTTGGTTCTGGTGAAGGGCACGTACCTCAGTTGCAGACTCATCCCCAGCCCTGGGCGGAGCGCGTGGGGGAGGCAGCCGGTCAATGTGGCTCTCTCACATCAATGGTTTTCTCTCTGTCTCTCTGTCCCTTCCACTCTCTCTAAAAAGCAATGGATAAAATATCCTCAGTGAGGATTAAAAAAAGAAGAAAAATAAATTATATTTTTCTCCTTATATTTCACAGTGGAGACCACTGGGCTGGAGGGACATGTTGGTAATTTAGGGCAGGAGTACAGAGCCTGTTTGGTTTTATGATCGCAGAATCATAAAGAACTGACTCCAAGGTTCCAGTTGGATGTCAGTGTTGACGACATGACTTCTGTAGTCTCTTAATGTAGTTGCTGGCTCTTGCCACTGGCCTGTAATGTAAACCTTTAATCTCTGATCATGGAAATGCATGACAGTAAATACTGTGCTTCTGCTTTTTAGCAAAGAATTTCAAGTAATGGTTTTTCTAGTATATTAAAAGGATTCTTCTAAATATCAACCCTTTGGTCAGTATCTCATCAAACGTTGTTCTGGATAAGTAAACTGCCATGCTTGCTCTTTAGCTATAAGACGTTAGGTCAGTAGAAATACTAGTCTGTTCCCTTGTGTACTCAGGAAGGGCAACACTTTTACCCATTTCATCCTGGACATTTTAATCAGGAGCTGTTTTCTCCTCAGAATATGTGTGGTGACTGGCCCCATGAGTAAATTTAAAAATAACCTTTCTGTACCTATTATTATATATAGATGATGTATGTATTAATACAATCTTAAAAAATGACAGAGGTTGCTTCTCAATTTTTGTTAAATTCTTATTAATATGACTGAGGTAGGTTATTTGTGGTATTTACCTTTGGATTGCTTCTCGTGGGTGATGCAGATATTTTAGTAGAACACAGAATTTGACAATAATTTTGAGGTATTAAACAGATATCTAATACCCTCTTGAAAACTTTTTTTAAAAGCCTACGTGTGTGTGTATGTGTGTTTCCTGTTAAAGTTGGAGAGGGCTTAAGGGGGAAGTAGATGAGGCAGAAACAGATAAAATCTATTTTCAGGCAGAGCTTTCCTATGCCAAGATTCAACCTACAGCAAGTTTTAATGGCTTTTTAAACCCCTGAAAATGAGAGATTACTGTGGAATTGCTGACAGATCCTTAATTCTAGCGGTGCAAGTGTGTGGCATTATTATAATAGTAACCTGGAGGGTGGAAGATTTCAAGCCGTAGAATATTGATCAAAGGATTGAACTCAAAGAATACATTTTTATTTTAACAGTTCCTTGCCTGGAGAAATATTTGAAAAAGTGACAGCCAGAAGTAGAATCATGTGATAGCGTTGGTATTAGTGGAAAACAAAACTTTTTAATGTTTTGGAATTTCATAAGCCTTTGATGTATATCTTCACTATTTTTAAGCTCCTTAGGACACAGAGCACTATCATAGGCACTATGGGATACAGATATGCTTTTTAAAAACAGGTTAAGCATGAGATACCACAATCTAAATGTGATCCAATAAGATTATCATTAGTATGTTTTTTTGAGGTATTCAAGATAGGGAATGAGAGCCAGGGAGACAGAGATAGCTGAAGCAAAAGCTGCAGCAGTGCATCCCCTAACCACCGCCCTCCTGTGATGCCCCACTCCCAGCTACATCTTTTTTTCCCTGTCATGTAAATAAGGTTTGAGGAGACATTTTGACATAAAGTAAACTTTATCTAAGCACATCAAGTTTATGTGTACTGAACTGTAAGTGTATATTTTATTTTTTTATATAAGATGTTTTACTAGTATCTAGAATGCAAAAAAGAATTTTGTGTCTTATTAACAATACCAAATTATAGAAAAAAGTCATCTCTAGTTTATGAAATCAACTTGAGAATGGCAAACACAAGTTGGGAAAATGTCCCTGGGTTTTCAGAAAGGTAACATTTTTATGCTAAAGAAAGGCTAGTTACTTAGTCCCAGTAAGAAATTTTAATAACATCAGAAAAGGATTTAAACAATAGTGGTTTAACTTTTTTTACAAAGCTCATCAGCAACATTGTGTTTTAACAAAATGGCTCTTATGACTAAGAATATCATTAAAAAAATGAATGAAAATCATACCTCAACATTTTTCTTAGTGTCTGTTTTCACAAATTTAGATACCCTTTTCTTCACTAACCAGTGAAGAAAATTTGGGTTGTGGGGGGTGGTCATTGACCTTTTGAAAAATGAGAGCTATGTTCTTTCTCCCCAGAAAAAATACATGTACGTATAGATTTTAAAATGTAAGTATATGTAAGTATATATTTTAAAATGGAGTGAGGAGGGATCTTTGTGGCAGGGAGGAGCTTATCTGGATTTAAAACTTGAATATGGATATACAGAAAACTGGTAACACTCTTGCTTTAGGGGAAAAGAGCTAGATGTGCCCGTCAGTGTTCAGAAGGAGATTTACTTCTTTCTGTAGTAACCTTTTGGATATTTTAAACTCTCTATCATGTGCACAGCATTACTTGTTATAAACAAAAGAAATTATAGATAAACTTTACTCATCGTCTCTAAATTACCCCCCTCTTTTTTTTCTTTCAGGCGTTTGCAATGGCTGCTACTGTGAACTTGGAACTTGATCCCATTTTTTTGAAAGCACTAGGCTTCTTACATTCAAAGAGTAAGGATTCTGCTGAAAAGCTAAAAGCATTACTTGATGAATCTTTGGCTCGGGGCATTGATTCAAGTTACCGTCCATCGCAAAAGGTACCTATGTGAATAAAAAGCTTAGAGGGAGTTTTGTAAGTCCTGTAGTAGTACAGTGTGGTACATTTAGACCATCTTAAAACAGTTCTCTCTGCCAAAATAATCTTTCCTGCGGCATGAAAGAATTATAGTCTTTTGTTTTCTTCCTTCAAGCTTTTAGAGAACTATTGGACTACATAGAAAAGTTAGCTGGGTGTAGGGATATTCTGTTCTACTACTTTATGTGTGTAGAAACCCTCTTGTTTATGATACATTTTAATTTCAAATTCTTTATGATCAGAATCTTTGTTTTTCAAAGCTGCTGAATGAAACTGTACCTTACTTGTAATTATCTTCTAATGTTTCAGGGGCAAAAAAATCACAATATGATGACTTAATTTTTAACTGAAAATTATTAAGATTTATGATCTATTTCTTTATGATGTGTTAGATAGTCTGAATATTTAATTGTGGGTATCATTTTATTTCACCTTTTAGGATGTGGAGCCACCCAAAATTGCAAACACAAAAACCATTTCCATTAAGCAGGAGCCCAAAACATCATCCAGTCTTCCTTCTGGCAATAATAATGGCAAAGTTCTCACAACTGAAAAGGTAAAGAAGGAAGCTGAAAAGAGACCTGCTGAAAAAGTAAGATTTTATTTTAATGTAATAAAAAAACAAAGCATATCAGTCAGAAACAATGTTTTGTGCTTACGCCTTTTAGTAATAGTGTTTAAAAAGTACATAATAATCATTCAGTAAGAATATTTTGATAATTATAGATGTTGATTTTTTTCGAAAAACATGAATAAAATTTGGAAATATTTTTAACCATTTACTGAAATCATTGTCAATAAATATTTGAGCCCCAGGGGATGTACTGATTTCAAGTATAAACTTTAATTCATGACTCAAATATTCTAGATGGAACAGTTGACAAGAAAAGATAGAAAAGAATGAAGAGTAAAGGAATAAATAAATAAAGATATAAATGACTAAATGTGAAATTTGTTACAATATGGCATGTACCTTAACAGGGCTACAAATAATTGAGGTTTTTTTGTGGTTCCATATAAATTTTTGGATTATTTGTTCTAGTTCTGTGAAATACACCATTGATATTTTGATAGGAATTGCATTGAATCTACAGATGGTTTTGGATAATATGGGCATTTTAACAGCGTAAATTCTTCCTATCCATGAACATGGTATATGCTTCTACTTATTTGTATCTTTTTCAGTTCCTTTCTTCAGTGTCTTATAATTTTTTGAGTACAGGTCTTTTACATCCTTGGTTAGATTCCTAGGTATTTTTTGATGCAATTGTAAATGGGATTGTTTTCTTAGTCTCCCTTTCTGATAGTTCATTATTGGTGTATAAGAATGCAACTGATTTATGGATATTTATTTTGTATCCTTCTGCTTCACTGTGAATTTATCAGTTCTAGTAGTTTTTTGGTGGACTCTTTAGGGTTCTTTATATACAGTATCATGTCATCTGCAAATAATGGCAGTTTTACTTTTTTCTTTACAATTTGGATGTCTTTTCTTTCTTTTTCTTATTTGTGTGTCTAGGACTTTCAGTACTATGTTGAATAAGAGTGGTGAAAGTAGACATTCCTGTCTTGTTCCCGATCTTAAAGAAAATGCTTTTAATTTTCCCCATTGAGTATGATGCTAGCTGTGGGTTTGTCATATATGGCCTGCATTATGTTGAGATATGTTCCCTCTATTCCATTTTGTCTGAGACTTTTTATTATAAATGGGTACTGCACTTTGTCAAATGATTTCTGTGCATCTATTATACAACCAAATGATTTTTACCCTTCACTTTGTTTATGTTTAGTAGTTCATAATTTAAAATATTTAAAGTAAAAAATAGCCTTATTAATTCTAAGGCTTCTCATTTCAAAGCATATGACGGGAGGGGAAAAAAAAGGTCAATATAGGTAAATTCATTGAACTTCCAGAATTCTTTAATGGATACAGGAGTATAAAGAAAAATACAGATATATACTAAACTTTTCTGATTTATTTATTTCTACCTTACTGATTTATTTCTTTTAATGTACTGATTACGAATTTGTTATAAGTCTCCTACAGATCTTTAGTGTGTACATCTGTTGCTAACTACGTGAAAATATCTGTCAAGTGGACTTGGATATTGCACATTGTCCATCTTATCTGCTTCTCAGTGATTTAAAGTTTATTGTAACATGTTACTTTCTGATTACGTGCTTTTATAGATGAAATCAGACACCCCTGAAGGAGTTGATATTCCAAAGAAACCTAGATTGGAGAAACCAGAGACACGGTCCTCTCCCATTACGGTGCAAACAAGCAGGGATTTAGCTATGGCTGACCTTTCCAGTTTTGAGGAGACCAATGCTGATGATTTTGCCATGGAGATGGGATTGGTTTGTGTTGTTTGTAGGTAAGTTGTACCTTGCCACAGATTCTTGTTTCTTTCTAAAGAGCAAATGACTAAACAAAAAAAAAGTCATTCCAGTTATTGCGTGCTTTTTATTTTGTTTTTATTGTTTAGAGGTGGATAGGAGGTAAGTAGATTATTCCGTATGAACTGCTTATATAGCAATTTAACATCTTGAAAATTGTCCAATATTTTATTTTCCTGACTGTGGCATTATTCTGTTATGTTGTAGTAATACTTTCTGCATTCTTGGGTTCTAGAGAGAAAGCAATCATTCTTTATTCTTTAATGAGGAAGAGTCTGTTCAGCAGACTCAATTATTTCCATCATTCTTTTTAAGAAGTCTGTGTTGCTTTTTCTTTCCCCCGAATGCTTTGCTTAATAGTATGTATAGAGTAAACTGTTATATATCATTTCTTAAAACACCTTTAAATCTTTTTGTAAGGAGAATGAAATGAAATAAATGGGTCATATAGATTATTCTGAGTGTTGTTGTAAAACATGAATACATAGGTATAAAAACATAGATCATTATGTTTGCCTGTAGTAGTACATATATCTTTATGGGTAAGTGTATTCAGATTTTTCAGGTAGGTACTCAGAAGAAAGATTTCTGAGTTGTGCACCTGAAACTTACGTTATTAAGCAACATTACCCCAATAAACTTAATTAAAATATTTTAAAAACCGGAACAACTTAGATTTTAAACTTTTTTATGCCACAGTCTATATTTTTAATTACTAATGTCTTTCCCTGACTAGCGCAACAGAAAAGAATGCCTTTTTTTTTTTGCATTTTTCTTCATGAAAATGTTAAATTCGGGTGTACTAGGAATGAGTAAATAATTATAAACTTTTGTAAACTTTATACCTGACCATGTTATATGTACTTTTGAATGGGATCATTTGTTAGAGTTTCATTGTTTTCACATACATTTATTTCAACCTTTATCTACCATGAAGGTTATTATTTTTAAATAAAGAGATAAATCATAAAGTAATAAGGGGGAGAGAATTAGTAACTATAACCTTCCATCTGGAGACTTATTATGTGATGATTGCTTTTGTGCTATTGGAATTTACACTTTTTGGTACACATATTGCTACATTCTATTCAGTTGATAAGACATCTATTTATTGAACACCTTTGTTATGCACAGTAATGTCCTAGGCACTGTATGTTAGGCCCATTTTCCACCTTTATACAACTCATATTAGTGAAGATGATATAACAACAAATAGGTAACAAATAAAAAGGAATTTAATAGAGGTACAAAGAAGATGCTATGCGACTGTTGGAGGACTAGCCAAAGTCTACTACCATCTAGGAGAAATAAAAATATTACAAGAGAAAGACAAGGAGAATATAGCCAAATTTAGTTACTAAGGCACCTTATATATTTATTAATGGTTGAGCATAAGCTTTAAAAGAAATGAAGTGTTTGTATAGGCTACATGTCGGGGTTGTTATTTTCCTCTGTAGTTTTCTGGGGGTTTAAATAGTCTTTAATATATCAAACTTTCACAGAACAATCCTAAAATGGCTTTAAATTGTTGCATGCATTCAAATAAGGCAGTGCTTAATGTTATATTTTCTTAGGCAAATGACAGTGGCATCTGGTAATCAATTAGTGGAATGTCAAGAGTGCCATAATCTCTACCACCAAGATTGCCATAAGCCCCAAGTGACAGACAAGGAGGTGAATGACCCTCGGCTTGTGTGGTATTGTGCCCGATGTACCAGACAAATGAAAAAAATGGTAGGAATAATTTTTCTGTATTTTAAACAGTCTCTGTCAATATTCTTGTTGATACAGCTTTTCAAAATAAATATTGAATTATTACGATATTGAAAAAATAAATCATGACCTGATTATTTAAATGTTTGTTTATATAGTATGTATGTTTGATTTATGTATCTATGCTTAAAGACCAGATCATGTAATATGTACTTTTCTCTATTCAGTTTTTAGTTTATTCTAATATAGAAAAAACAAACAGGATTGGAGACCCATAAAATATGAATATCTCTCACTAGTATTTCAATGTACTTCTAAACATTTAAAAAATACTATAATACACTGTAGGAAATGGTGGGATACAAAGCCCCAGTCTTTGGTGAGTTTGGTAGGGAAATATTGAAAATATCTGTTCCTGAGTGAGCTTAAGCCACCACACTTGTGTACAAAGGCTATGTCTGTATTTGCATCTCTCTTTGCATCTGCGTTTCTCTATCACTTAGTCTTGTCTTACCGTCTTTGAATGACCGTTTACCCTGTTTTCCCATTGTACTTGCTCTGTATGCTGCTAACTAACATAACTGCCTTTAATATCATACTGAAACATGATTTCATTTGTTACATTGGATAGTTTTCTAACTTTTATTCAGGACCTTTGAACAGACTTTTTCCTGAGCCTGGAAGGCTCTTCATTCCCCTTTCTCCCTAGATAATCCTTTTTCATTATCAACATTCAGATCAAGTATGACACCCCCACCTCCAGAATATACTTTCATTGCCCCCATATGCTTATTCCTCTTTGTATTTTCCACTATAGTGAATCTTTTTTTCATTAAATATTTATTAATATATTTCTCTCTACTCAAAGCTCCATGAAAGCAAGGATCATGTCTAATTTTTGCTTAGCACTGAATCACTAATGCTTAGATACAATAAGATGCAATAGATATTTGCCTGAATAAATGCGTGAATGAATGAATGAAAAAAAAGTTGATAAGTGAATGTCGTCATTTTCCTCTTAAAGAAATCAAGTTGCTGTTTACCTTGGTGACTTATTTCATTCCCCTATCCCTTCTCCCTGCCTTAGATTAGGGACTCTTACTACAAGAGTTTTCATGTCTCTTAATCAAATGAATTTCTACATAAAGTTTTTTGACCAAGCATATCTTTTTAAAGTCAGAAATACTTAGTTAAGAGTAAAATAGCAAGATAATCTGTTTTACTTTTTAATCAGTTAAATCAGAAATCAGAAATAGTTTTTACTTATTCCTATGAAAAGTAGTAAATATTCAGTAGAAGGTATACTTTCTCTTTTCAATAGGAAATTTCTATGACAAGGTACAATTTTTTTCTGTTCAGTCTGATTTTTATTTAGTTTATTATTTAAAATAACCCTTTAGGACCTCAAGCAAAATGTTTATGGGTGTTCAGTATAGTGCATTCCGGGACAATTACAGTTGTAATCGCTAAGAATTGGTGATAGTCAAAATAGCTAATTTGTGATAGTAATATGTCTCTCTCTAATATATCTTTAGAGTTTTATTATTATTTTTATTTCACTGTAAGTCTTAATAAAGTAAGCACTGTTCTCTCCTAGGTTTTTTCTCCCCATTTTTTTACACCAAATCTATATTTATAGTTCTAACCCTCTTTCTGGATTGAATTTTGGCAGCTGATCAGATATCTTTCAGTTTCTTTTATATCTTTAAAATCAAAATTGTTCTCTTCTCCACTCAACTTCCCTCCAGTTGGCTCAACTAGAAAACATTATCCATTATACCTCTTTTAATTCCATATATTATTGTCTATTTCTTCTATCTTTCACATACCTATTCACCTTCCTCTTACTACCCTATTCTATAAATCTCTCATTTCTTGTCATTTGCTTTAACCTCTTAAGAGGTCTTCTTGCTTCCCTTCAATCCACTTTACTCAGTACCATTGGAACAATTAGAATTGTGCTTCTAAAATATTTATCTAATTCTATCTGTTTAAATATATCCAGTGGCTTTTGATTACTGACAGAATGAGATTATACTCATTAGAATGGATATGTGGCCCTTCTCTCTTGGACCCAAGTCTCGTTTTGTACCCTCCCCTACCACGTCACCATATATCCCATACATTCTGGCCGGGGCAGAATAAGTATATCATTCCCTAAATATGTGGTAAACTTTCATGTTCCTATGTTTTACTTCTCAGATTCTCCTCATCTGGGGTACCTTTTATTCTTTATCATCTTTGCAAATTAAATGTCTGGTTCATTTATCAGTAAGATCATGTCTTATTCCTTGGCATAGCACCAGAGCAGAGCTCAGGACTAGACATGTCTTACATTCTATGGTTCTCATTTTAAGATATGCACAATGTAGGAGATGCGGATTAGTACCAGAAATCAGTAGTCAGTAAGTTTAATCTGTGTGTCCATGAGTCAAAGTACTGAATGGGAGGCCATGACTAATGTTAGAACATGATTGGAATACACAAACAGTGGACCTAGGGAAACCCAAAAGGCATGATCTGAAGTGAACTTGAATTTCTGGATCCAGTGAACACGAGGTTTATGAAAAAGAAATTTGGAAACAGTGGGGGTGCTAAATCCAGTCATTCTAACTATAATTGCTTTCAGTGAGGTCCTCCTATGTGCTTTGGTTACTGCTTTAGAGTATCACAAGATACTATAACTAGCATCTTACAGCCCCTTCCTCCTTGCACTAATTTTTCCAACTAGGGCAGCCTCTGCATTAAAGGATGACCTACATAAGAATGTGGTGATGTGTGGCAGGGTCAGAGGTCATTGTTTAGTTCTAAAATTTTCTCTCTACCAGAAAATGGGTTTTGCCTCAGCACTAGCTAAGAGACTCATTTTGACTTGTTGCAGTGGTTCTCAACCTAAGGTAGTAACACACACCTGCTCAGCAGCACTTAGAAATATGCGGTGTTTGTCATTGCTGCTTTACTGGCAGTTACTGCCCTGAGTAGAGAATTACATACATTCTTCAGTGTGGGAGGCAGCCACCCAGTGAAAAATTATAGTTCTTTTTTTTGAGCAACACTGAGTCAGTGATAATATCCTAGTTCCCTAAACTAGTATTACTAACAAAGGACAAAAGCTTCTGGGTATTTCTTACTCCACTTCTAAGATGGCCAGGTGAAACAGAGGAAGCAGATCTAAACATGGTTCCTAGACAGAGGTCCTTTCTGAGCTTCGTTGTAATGAATCTTCATCTACTAAACCATACACGTTAGGTTAGTCTTCAGAGTCTAACTTCTGGAATAGTAGGTGTGGGTGGAGGGACGCGTAAGATGGAAAGCCGTGGTTACAGAGCCATGTATTTCTGATTTACTCTGAGAGCTGCATTCCCATAACGTGATTTTGCAGTAGAGTGAGGTGGCCCTCCTTTCCGGCAGGTAGGAGATGCTTTACCGCAGGTAGTCTTCCAGCATTCTTAATAATATTCGTGATCCAAATGCTACTTTATAAATGATGTTTCATAGTAGGTGCACTTCCATGTGGAAAGTATGTAATATAAAATATGGAATGATTTGAGACTTAAGGACCAAAATTATATATAATACAGCAAACCATAGCACAAGAAGGTCCAAACAAGGATAAAACAGTCTGTATTCAAACTTCTAGAAATGGGAAGAAATTATTAATAAATTCCCCAGTATAATCCTGTATGACCTTATTAGGATTGTCAAAGACAGTGGAACGGCTGGGGGCATTTTTCACCATTCAGTATGGATGGTTTCTTCCAGAGGCCTTATCCTTTGTAAATAATTATGATGGATAAATAGGAATTAATATTGTCAGCACTCAACATATTCCAGACACTGTGCTAAACTCTTACATAATCATAATTCATCCCCATAACCCACATTTGAAACAGATGGCACACCACCAGTTACAAAATAAGAAAATATTATTCGTCAAAATAAAACAGTATACTTGTAAAGGATCAATGGGTGCAAATTCCTGTTTGATAACATAAAAATGTGTTATCAAATTTGTATTTGTGAGCTTTCTCTAAAAATACAGTGTGCCTAGTTCTACAGTGTGGAAAAACTTCAAAAAGCTTCATCATTTACCACTAATAGGTTTTTCTTCCCAGTCTGTATTTAAAACCATATAATTGATCTGATCTACCTTTGAACTCACTCTCAGTTACTCAGTGACCTGTGCCTGAACCCCAAGAAGAAAACTCCTAAGCCTTTGCCCCGCCACAATAAGAAGTAAATGTACTTCATCACAATTACAAATAGTTTATGATTTTCCTTTTGAAAGCAGCAATTTGATTTTCTTGTTAAAATGGCATTTAATTAACCTTAATCTGCATGATTTTTATAGCATTTATTATCTTTACTGTTTAGAAACTAATACAGAGTATAAAAGCATTAATATGATGATAATTTGTCTGAGTCTATACTTTTAGTATGATCACAATATTTTTTAAATGTTCAACTATATTTCAACTCAATGAGTACTGTGATAGATTTTTCATTGTCTTTTTTGTGCATTTCTCTAAGATTTTGTAGCTAATTTAATCTTAACATTGATTTTTACAGGCTTTAAAAACTCAGAAACCGCCACAGAAACCAGCCCCCACGGTTGTTTCTGTAGCTCCCGCTGTCAAAGACCCATTGGTTAAGAAACCAGAAACTAAACTCAAACAAGAGACAACTTTTCTAGCATTTAAGAGAACAGAAGTCAAGGTATAGTACATTTCATTTTTATCTAAGATTATCTAAGATTTTATTTTTAATTTAGTTGACTAAACAATTATTAGTTGCAAAAAAAATTAATGAGGAACTTTTATATACTAAATGGCCGTATGTTAGAAATTAAGACTGCATCGCTTTTAACATTAAGTAGAAAGGGAACATTTATTAATTATTTAATCTCTAACAATGCTGATTTCTCTTTTTATCAAAATTAGGAACTGTGCATTTGCATCCCAAGTTGACATTCTTTACCATTTCTATGTAGTCAGACACTTACCTCCATCAGGAATTTGCTTTAAATTCAAAATACCTCTGCCCTCAGTAGCAACAATTTTGCTCCTCATATTACGTGTGCTTTATTGACTCCATAGCTTTTTTCTCCCTACCTATCGGCTATTAAAGTTTTCTTGCTTTGTCTTTTTGTTTGTTTCCTTTAATTATCACGAACTTTCATGATACCTACCTCTATTCTAAGGGGCCAGGTTATTTAGTGAGAGTATCACCTTTCTCATTCCCAGCTTTGCATCCTTGAATTCACACTACATTATTATTAATATCCTGGCATTTTGGTATCATGGAATAAAATACTTTGCTAATCTAATTTTATAACAAAATGGATGCTTTTACTGAGTTACACCCAATTTTAAGCAGAGTACAAAACACAGAAGGAAAAAACAACCCCAAATTTTCAAAGGTGGACCCCAGAAAATTCTAAAGTTGACTATATAATTCCAAGTGAGTACCGTTAAGTAACAAAGACCCAGAACCTTGGGATGATGATAAAGAATATAAATATAAGGTACTCTGAGAAAGATACTAATAATTTTATTTGTAGATCATTTTTTAAATTTAATTTACTGGGGAAAAGTTGATATCCAAGGGATATCTACCATTGATTTGTCACATAGGAACTTAATGAATTGGAATAGAAGTAATAATAATTTATTGAAAGTAATTAGAGTTGCTATATTCTATATTTAAGTCACTTTTAGGTAGATTTTTATACTAACCTATTAATACTAAAGTTTATTTTTAGGAAACCCAACATGAAATCATTTTATGGCAAGTCAATTAAGGCCTTGGCTGTCGTGTTTGCTCTGCTTGAGAGATTTTGGTGTGTTTATGATAAAAGTGGGGAAATTTTTACTATGAAAAAAATTGTTCTCATTCTTATATAAAGAGCAAATGGCTTTCTAACTAGGATAATGGAAAGAAAATATTTATAGTTAAAAACAGTTGAGAAATTTATACACTGAAGTAGTAAGGAATTACTTGCTACCCATTGTGTGTGTTTACACTTGAGCGCACCCTCATGGTATTGTAGGCCGTCTGTCACTCGGTTGAACAGCAGTCCCAGGAACAGCGAGCCATTAAAATAAGATGCCGTACACACAGAACTTGCTTTCGTGTTTATACTTCATAATTGTTGGTCTTTTTAATTACTTCAGATGGGTTTTCTTTTGTGAAGTCTGGTTGAAAGATCATTTAGCCATATGGCAGACAGTTTTATGTTTAACAGAAAAAGGAAAAAAATTAGATCTTTCAGAACTAAAAAGTTGACTACACCTGTGTCTTTTTGCTTCCTTGAGGAACTTTTTCTTATTACCTGTATGCATTTCTCTAGGAATTTATAATTTATGTAGTTCATCTTCTGGGTGAACTTATGAGACAGTTATTGTGTGCTGTTATTGGAAAAATTCCTATCATTTTCAGAATATGTGAACAAAAATCTGGACTCCTCCACTTAAAAAGTAAAGATTTCAGAGCATTCTGTTTTCATTATTTTTCGCATTGGTTAAAAATGTTTACATGCAAACAGTATTGAAGGCTACTTTTATTTTTTTTTGAAGGCTACTTTTAAAAACTAAAATCATTTTATCATTTGAGAAAAATCATCTTATCAGTTCTTTTGGACTTCAGTTCTAAAAGACAGCTAGATATATATTTTAGACATAACTACCATATTTTTAAGTGAGATGCTATTTGTAATGCTTTATCTTTCACCCATGTGTGAATTTAACACTTTTGTCAATCCGAAGAATATGAAGGTAGCCCTGGCTGGGCGGCTCAGTTGGTGGGAGTGTCACCTGTACTCCAAAAGGCTGTGAGTTTGACTCCTGGTCAGGGAACATACCTAGGCTGCAGGTTTGATTTCCAGTCGGGGCAGTCAGTGTCTCTCACGTTGATGTTTTGCGCTCTCCCTTTCTCTAAGAAACAAAAAAACCGCCAACCAACCAAACAAAAAAACATCCTCAGGTGAGGATTTTTAAAAAAAAGGAACATGAAGGTAGAAAGAATGCCAGTGAGAAGTTCAACTCATAGTTAATTTGAACAACCCAAATGTGAAGGTGAAGAATATTTGAGCTTGTGTGAATAAGAGCACTATTTATTTACATAGTGACACTGTTGTCACTGTTAGCTCTTGACTGGCCAAGGAAGTCAGAGAAATTTATGAAATACGTCAAGGAGTGACGCAGACCTGCCCAAAATGGCTCTGTACAGCCTGAGGCAGTTGATAATATCCTTAACAGAAGTAAGGATCTCTTGTGATAATTTCAGTGGAAACGAAAATAAAATCATTAGACCTTTTTTAATATATCACTAGAGTTGCATAGTTCCAAGTAGTTAACATTGTATATCCGTATATATTTTACAGTACAGTAATTATTTGCTCAAAATTTGAGGGGAACTTTTAAAAAAAGTGGGTTCAGAATCTCATACATTTACTCAACAAGTAATTATTGAGTGAATCTCTTTACCTCAGACATCTGATATCCTGGGTGTGAAAATTTTTATCCATTGACACAGAGAACAGACTGATAACTGCAAGAGGGGAAGTGGTTGAGGGCTGTGTGAGAAGGGTGAAGGAATTAAGCAAAATAAAAAAAAGAAAAACTCATGGACATAACCGTATGGTGATTGCCAGAGGGAAATGGGGTGGGGGGAGGTAAAAGAAGGAAAGGGGGGTACAAATGCTGATGGAAAGAGACTTAACTTGGGTGGTAAACAACAGTACAACATGCAGATGATGTACTGTAGAATTGTATACCTAAAACCTGTATAATTAACCAACGTCATTCCAATAAATTCAATTAAAAGAAAAGAGTGTATCTATTTTTGAAATTATCTACAAGTTATTTGGAGCAAAATCTAAAGAATCACATGTTTTACTGAGCTGGATAATACCTTTTTGGGTGAAAATAAGTTAAAGCATTAAACCTGATTTTCTGATATGACTTATAACTGAAAAGCAGTTCTCAAAAAGGAATTCCATATATTTCATTTCTGGAATTAGTAGAACAATATGGCATCCCAAAATTTCTCTTTGGAAATGGTAGCACCCATTAGCTATGGATAAGTTTTGTTGTGTTTTTTACAGATTCATTTTATAAGAACTTAATTTTAGTGGTGCAATTTAAATTTCCCACATCATTACTTCTGTATAAAAAGTCAAACAATTAAACTTGTTATATATTTCAGAAAATTATATTAGGTATTAATTATACTTGGCTTTAAGTAATATTTTATTTTTCTATTCTTTTAGACATCCGGGGCTATTTCAGGAAATTCTTCTAGTACCAGTGTTTCCTCTTCAGCAACTAGTGGCTTAACTGGATGGGCAGCCTTTGCAGCCAAAACTACTTCTGCTGGTCCATCAACAGCAAAATTGAGTTCAACAACCCAAAACAATAGTGGGAAACCTGCCACCTCAGCAGCTAACCAGAAGCCTGTGGGTTTGACTGGTTTGGCAACATCATCCAAAGGTGGAATAGGTTCCAAAATTGGTGCCAGTAGCAACACTTCACCCACTGTACCATTGAAACCACCTCCACCTCTAACTTTGGGCAAAACTGGCCTTAGTCGCTCAGTTAGTTGTGACAATGTTAGCAAAGTAGGTCTTCCTAGTCCGAGTAGTTTAGTTCCAGGAAGCAGCAGCCAACTAAGTGGAAATGGAAATAGTGGGACATCAGGGCCTAGTGGAAGTACCACGAGCAAAACTACTTCAGAATCAAGCAGCACTCCGTCGACATCCCTTAAAGGTCCAACTTCACAAGAATCACAGCTCAATGCCATGAAGCGATTGCAGATGGTCAAGAAGAAAGCTGCCCAAAAGAAACTCAAAAAGTAATGTGGCCAAGTAGGTTTTAATATCATATTACCCTAAAGATTAAAATCTTGTTATTAGGACATAAATTGTACTATACTATAATTTAATAAAAAACTTCATAGTGAAATTTCTGTTATTCCTTACCTTAAAATGCTAAATATAGAAAAACTTGGAACTCTTTGTTGTTTTAAATCTGTTTAAGTTTTATTTTAACAATTTCCATAGTATGTGAAAACAATTAATAGAATGACTAATTCTTGGTGAGAACTTCCAGAATCCCAGAAGACTGGTACCATATGTGAATTAAATCAAAAAAAGCAGTGGTTTGTTCATCTTCTATCAAAGCTCCAAGAAATGATCCTGTTGAATACGGTGCCTCACAAGGTGCCTCACTATAGTTTCTTACATTCCCCCCAATGTTCTCCATGATCAGTGTCAAGCCCCAGCCTGATTCTCCCTATTCTCCCCAAATATTTCATCTCTCCTTTTTCAAAATTAGCTTTTCACAATTGATTTCTGATACCTCTATATTACCTTTTTATCACCTCAAATCAATTATTTGTCTCTTTCAATAGATTGTGATCTACCATGCCCTTTAAATGCAGTATTTCTCTCACATTGTCCACATTTCCTTACATTGCCAGTGTAACATATGCACATAGTATATATTTAATAAATTTTGAATTTTGATCTATCCTGGTTACATAATTTCTGAGAATTATTGAGAAAAATACCCATTCCAAGAGTCTGTAGTGGATCATGTCTACTTGTGTATATACTGATAGCTTCTTCCTATACCATGAAAAATAAGGCTGTTTTATTTTTACTGCCCCAGAATGTTACAACATTTTATGTCATTTAAATTAACTTTGTATAAAGGTAGCTCCTGTATAATTATTGTGATTGTTTTGAAGTATATATATATGTACATTGTTAGGTCAAAAAGAGTGAAGGTTCTTAGTTGCTGTCTTATTTGCAAGCTAACACATTAGCCTGCCATTCTTTTATGTATATTTTCTGAAAGAAGACATGCAGCTTTTTGGGTAATGGAAACGGTTTATTACAGCAAAATGCAGCAGCCATTTTCTACTTCCTGAATACCTCATTTCTTCCCACACTGGGTCTTAATAAAGTCCCACATTCACTAGACTGTAAACTAAAAGTCCAGCAGATCCCCACATTTCTTCAACTTTGATGTGTGCCACTAAATCTTCACTCTATAGCCTCAAAGCTCAAGCCCTTTCCTTTAATCCCTACATTTTTATAGGTTATCCTAAAATATGTTGATAAATGATTTCTGTGAAGATAAAGCTTTTCAAATTAAGCTTGGTCTTTTTCTAAGGAAAGATTACTTTAAAATTACCTGTTCAATAATGGGACTAAATTATTCATGGTAAATTAGAATTCAAGATTGAGATAATCCCGTTACTTACAAAGTGGAGTAAATGTCTATTTACACGTTTAAAATTTGCCTGCAGATGTTTTTGTTTTGAGAAACAGATTGCTGTTGATTAAACATCAGTTTGGCATCAACTTCAAATTTCCATTAGGGTCAAAAGACCAAAAAAGATATATACACCCATGATTATTTGATTTTAGTTCAGGGTCAGTTTGGACTAAACTGGACAAAATCACCTGACAAGCTCAGCTCAACAACTGTAACAGCTAATGTAACCTCAGCGTGTACGAAACATGAAAGCAGACGTGCACAGTTCGCACATTGGCACTCGGAATGGAAAGTTGTATCCCATGTGTGCTGGATAGACTTGAGAAGCAATTATTTTAATTTCTACAGTACTTCAGAGAGGACTTGGCAAGACTTATTCAAGAAGTCATTTATCTTTTGTTGAGCATAGCTCTTTGTGCATATAAATATGTATTTAGAATCCTCATATGCGTATAAGTATACATACATCTAGTAAGGTAAAACTCAGTTGGGAATTTTTATACATGTATATTTGGTGTGAGTTTAATTGTCTTCAAGTAGGTCTTATACCTTGATTTTTCCATATCATTAAATGAGCTGCAAGGCTTTTTAACTGAGCATGTTATGAAATGTCCAGCTCTGTAGTAATAGTATTTATCATTTAATTAATTTTGTTATAATTTGCTTTTCTCGCTAGAATTTAAGTTGTGTGAGGGCAGGGACCTTGTTGGTCTTGCACACCATGGTATCCCCACTGCAGCTCTCAAATATTTATTGGCTCAATGGACGAATAGATAATTAGGTGAGCCAGCAAGTAAGCTTTTAGGATTGTAGATTCAAATCCCACTTTAATAGAATTCTGTTCAATATCACTTTTCTGTGTTGTGTATTGGGCTTGCTGTAAGATTATTTAATCATAAATTTTAGTGGCTTAAAATAAGGAAAACATTGGAAGAATATTGGCTTAAAGTCAGGAGACCTGGTTTTGAATCCCTGTCCCTCCACATGTTAGCTGAGTGAGCCTTTGTTTTCTCCTCTATAAAACATAGGTGATAATTAAGAGTAAAACTGAAGGCACCGAATATGCAAAGATTAGGTGATTCTGACAAGGATGTGGTAGTGCTGTTTATTGGTAACTGATATTATAAATTGTGATAACCATAGGTTATGGAAATACATTTTACACAAATTTTTATTCAATAATTATAAAAATTATGAGTAATTAGAAGAAACCATAAATGCACTTACAGTTCTTTTTAAGTAAGATAAGTTTATTTAATTCACTAAGAATCCATCCTCTAGATTTTTTTTTTAACAATAACATCTCTTTCAAGTAAATGCTAAAGCGTGTCTTGCCTGGAGTGTAATAATCGTGAAAGCGGTAACTGGCCTCAGAGATACAGCTTGAATTCTAGTAACCTTGGAGTACAGATTCGTTATATTGGAATAATTTTGTAGATCACAGAAAATTTAATGACTGAGTTTTTATATATTATGCAGTATGTATCAGAGGAGGGAGGTAATTGAAAAACTGACTTTAGCTCTAGCTGGTTTGGCTCAGAGGTTAGAGCGTTCACCCGTGGACTGAAGGGTCCTGGGTTCGATTTTGGCCAAGGGCATGTGCCTCAGTTGCAGGCTCCATCCCCGGCCTAATCGGGGCAAGTGCGGGGAGCAACCAATTGATGTGTCCCTCTCACATCGATGTTTCTGTCTGTCTCTCTCCCTTCCACTCTCCAAAAAAGCAATGGAAAAAATATCCTTGGGTGAGCATTAAAAAAAAAAAAAAATTAGACTTTAAAAATGCTAGCATTCTATAAATAATAGGATATCCCTAAAGATTAAAATCTAATGTCCCATTGAAATTTAATTACTTCCTCATCAGCTACAATGTAAACGTATATGTCTAATTTAACTTGAATTTGTGAGGTGTAGATGTAGTTAGTGTTGAGGAGTGCACTGAGTACCTTATAATGAACAGGATTTAAACAAAGTGTTTTTTTTGTCATCTTAGAATATAAAGATTTCCGCTCATTATTCACAGGGATTTAAGAGATTTTTGCAATAGACCAAAGGAAGCTTATGGGAAAAATGAAAAAATTTTAATTCTGTATTTCAGTAAAAACTCTAATTTTTGTAAATCCTCTGAACTATTCATCACAGGCACTTAATAGCCGGCTCTAAATGTCCAAATTATATTTTAGACAAAATATGGACAATACCAGCACTTAAAGTATTATATACAATGCTGCATTTGTATGATTAACCATGTGCACTCTGTCTCTCTGCACAACTGAACCTTCATAGAATTGTTTTATACTAATGAGTACTAAAACGAGATACTGTTCTGAAACAATGTGGAATGTTCAAGTAGTGGCTTTGTGATTTTTCCATGACTTACACACCCATGGTAATTTTGTATTACTGTTTTTTTATAATTTCTAAACTTTGTTATATATATTACTAATTTAAATCATCTATTTAAAAATAAATATTAGATAAATTGTGTATATATATAATATACACTTATTTGTTTTACAAAGGAAAATAGCCACAAAATGTTTCCCTTTGTTCTTGTTAAAAAATAAAAGCCAAAAACCTATTTCAGAGAATACTGTACAATAACATTTAATTTCAAAAATATAAAAAAATAATTACATTAGCTTTTCTCATGACAGTTCTATTTTTGAAAACTTACACACATTTTAACTATCTTGGGATTTTATTTCCCTTAGGCCCAACAAAATGATGCCTGGCCTCAAAATTACAATTACTTGATTTTAAACATCATACTAAGATAATGAGGATATTGTATAATGTAAAAAAAAAAAAAGAGCCTAAATGCCAAATGAAATGTAGGTTGTGTTTTTAAAATAACATAGTTTTACAGTAGTACATGTTCAGCACAGTAAGGGGGACTGCAGTAGGTGGCTTCATTACAACTCGTTCAGCAGCTCACTGCAGCTATGATTTCAATGGTGTGGTTCCTTCATAGGTCAGACAGGAAGCATCAATCCTAGGACCACACAAGTAGACAAAGCTTCTCATATACATCTAGTCACTATTTCAGCCAGAAAAGCAAATATGTGCTACTCTACTTATATAATTCTGTGTCTGGGGGCAGGGAGAGTATTAAGGTCACAATTTAAATTTCATATATATAAATATATGGGTAAGATTTCCCTACCGTCTTGGTTGTTGGGAACATTCAGTTTCCATAATTAGCAAGTTTAGATTTTCTTTTGCATTACCCTAGGCAAACTGGAATTTACTTATATTTTATTATTGGGTACAAAGGACCATTTATAAGACATAAAATCTTTCTGTATATATTTTTTTTAAAAAAAGGTTTTTTAACTCAAAAGAAAATATTTCATGCAAAAATGAGTTACCAGTAGAACCTTAAAAAGCCATATTTAGATTAAGAATTTTAGAAACAATACAAGACTCCCTCTTATCCACAGTTTCATTTGCATCCTGCCCCAGTCAACCACAGTCCAAACATATTGAATGGAAAATTCCAGAAATATCGCACAAGTTTTAAATCATGCTCCATTCTGAGTAGCATGATGAAATATCATCCAGCTCTGTCCCACGAGGGACGTGAATCATCCCTTTGTCCAGCACATTCACACTGTATATTCTACCTGCCTGTTAGTCACTCAGTAGCCTTCTAGGTTATCAGATGGACTGTTGAAGTTTCCCAGTGCTTACAGTAGCCTAATGCTACATCACAATACCGAGGACGTCATTCATTCACAGCACTTCATCTCAGCTCGTAGACACTGTATAATCTCACATCATCACAAGCAGGGTGAGTACAGTACAGTAACATTTTGCAAGAGACCACATTCACATAACTTATTACAGTATTTTGTTATAGTTGTATTTTATTAGTTACTGTTTTAATCTCTTACTATGTTTATCAATCTTTATTATAGATATGTACGTATAAGGGAAAACATAGTATATATAGGGTTTGGTACTACCTAAGGTTTCAGGCATCCACTGGGGTCCTGTAGCATATTCCTTGTGGATAACAGGGGATGACTATCACAAAATGTGAACTTTTCTGTTGTGTAAATGCCTTATGAATATCTGTGGTTGTACATGTCATATATGTATGTAAAAGTCAGCAATCCTCTGAAAAGCAGCACGCTTCATTTTATTATTTGTATTCCTTAGGGACATATGTAACAGTATATATTATACAGATCAAATCTTTTAAAGTAATTTTAACTTTAAAAAGATTGATGTCATATTAGCACATTTTATACAGACAATGAAAGTCCACCTTATTTTGGTTCTTAAAGGAAACCACTAAGTCAAATTTAATTCAATGTTTTTTTCTGTTCCATAGAAGCATCTTTAGTTCAATAAAATGTCTTGACAAAATATGCCTGAGATGTTAGGGGACCATTCTGCGCCATTCCCAAATTAAAGTTCAGTGTTCCAGGACATTGTGTTACAGCAGATGTTAACCTCGGTGCCTGCCTTGTCTAAGTACAAATCAGCAACTAAAAATATTTGCATGTTGGCTCAAAATATGGAACACACATTCCCCATTCATCATCCAAATAACTGAGTGATCCAAAAATATTTCTTCATTAAAATATCATAAGCAATCATGTAGGATAGTTTTTAAATAACTGTACTCTCAAAACGGTTTAAGCAAAACAATAAAAATAAACCTAAGTATTTCATTTTCTCTAGGCTAGAATCATGGAATTTCTTGTAGCCCTTGATTCTGAAAACCTTCTCAATACTTAAATATGGACCTGAGAGGAAAATGGGCTTCATCAATGTCCATTATTTGCATCACTGAGCTTTGTAACGGCAAATGTATACACTCCTAGAGGGTTAGTACAGCGTAGTGCTTAGGAGTGGGGACTCCAGAACCAGGCCTAGGTTTGAGGCCCCGCCCTACCACTTACTGGCAATGTGGCTTAGGCTAAATTCACCTCTTCCGACCACAGTTTCCTCACAACGTTGTGTCGAATAAGTTACCACATATAAAGCATTTAGAACAATGGTGTTTGGTATGCATTTGGTAAATGTTATTTTGTTGTTTTTTCTTCATTCGAAACATATTAAAGAGAGGCCCCACATCAGGCTTCTAGTTGGCTGTTAATTATCAATTCCTATTCTTACATATTTAGTACACTCCCTGGTTCATGCACATATGCATATAATCTATACCATGTAGTACACATATAGATGTATAAACCATATAATGAACATAGTATGTGTAAATGTATGTATGTGCATGCATGCATAACAGACGTGAACAAGAAAACATTTTTGAGGCAAAATGCATAATACAAAAAAATGAAATACCGTAAATTGAAAAAAACCTTGCCCTTAGATTCAACCTTTCATGATGGTAAAGAACACACTCTTTCAAAGTATCTCCATTTTAGGTAGTTGATAGTTAGAGCTTGGGCTGTTTGTTTGCTGTCTCTGTTTAGTGTTTCCTTCAACCTATATTCTTCATAATACATTTTGAAATAATCTTGTTAGGAAGCACAACCTTCCTTAAAACCTGATTCAGTATCAGTTCATTAGTTTGGAGGTTTCTTGATTTCTAGGTCAACATTGTGATGTCAGTATTACGAGGTAGTCCATCAACAACCTGACAGAAAATAAGTCAAAAGGCTGATTTTCTTAAGCATAAGTCATCTTCCCAAGGTAGTTGGCTGGTACGTATCCTTTTTGCCCATGAGCTTCAGCTAACCACCACTCTTTATTGCCACTTAGGTCACAAAATCTAAGTATATGGACCCTTTGGTATACCTGAAGGCTGAGTTCCTGGCTACTCCGTGCTTCAAAGGCATGAACTGCATAGAAAATCTGGGCAAAGAAGCAAATGACACAATTAGAAGCAGAACCTAAAAATGTTGACAAACGTTAGTAAAGATTTCCAAGCTTTTAGAAGGAATGCTAGTTTTCTTGTTTTCCCAAAGTGACATTTCCCCAACTCCTTCTGCCAGGTGTATTTTGCTACTAAAGTATGGTCCAGATTAGAATAGAGTGAAATAGGCATTCTTATTGCTCTGTTGGGAGGAGTCTAGACTGTGCTTGAGGGCATATTGGCTGTTTCTACTAGAAGATTTTTTAAATATTTTTTTATTAAATTATAGCTCTAAGACTCTGCTACAAAAAATAGAAATGTTGACAGATATTCTGCACAATAATGTTACTGCAATACCCATTTATAAGGTGAAAAGTGGGAGAGAAGTGAAAACACGGGAGGTTCAGCAAGAGGGTAAGTTCTAGACCTTACACGAAGGAAATCTGTAGTCATTACAATGACTAATAACATGGGAGAATGATCATGATAAAAACTGAGCAAAAATGACAAAGTACAATAGAAGCCTAATACTGTTAGTTTCTTTGGTAGAATAAGAGGTGATCTTCATTTTTACTTGTTTCCTTATTTTCCAAACCTATATAATGACAATGTATTAAATTTGTAATATTTCAGATATTTTAAGTGAGCTAGAAGAAACTAGTAAAACACATTTTAGTCAAAAGGATTTTTCTCCAACCTCAAAAGAATACTTCATAATTATCAGATGTATAAGAATAAGTGTTTAGTCCATCTTCCACTAATATCCTACGACTGTTAATAAAAATGTTAGTTATGGCATAAAATTAACTATGGCAAACAATCAACTAATAACATTTATTCGTTCATTCATTTAATCATAACTTATTAAGTGCCTATTAAGCGCCAGATATTATGGTATCAGAGAACTTGTACCTGACCTAGGGAAAAATATGTTAAAAAAAGAAAGGCACACACAAGAACAAAACTAAACAAATAAACACCCTGTGCACTCAGGTGATACATCAGCTGATTGTGAGCTGGTTTTTGGAATAAGTAATCTTTTATAAGTGACAAAGTTGAAAGAAGTTGATAGCATATTCAAAGCTATAGAGATGAATATATGAAAACAGTATATGGGACAGGCAAGCAGATTAATTTTCTCAAAATTGAGGATCAATGTTTGCCCCAGCCACATGGCTCAGTTGGAGTGTTGTCCTGTACACCAAAAGGCTGCGGGTTCCATCCCCGGTCGGGGCGGTAACCATTCGATGTTTCTCTCTCTCTCCCTTCCCCACTCTCTAAAAAAAATATTGAGGATCAATGTAAAACAGGAAATTATGAGAAATAAGGTGATTTGTTGAACAGGAAGAGATTGGGCAATGTGGGGAGGGGACTATAGTTACAGTTTAGGTTGTTCTTTAAATCTTGAGCTGTTAATTTAACTTTTGGTGGGATTCTGGTAACACTGTTTGTATACCATCTCAACAACTGCAGCATGAGCTCCACCTCAAGGACAGGAACCATGTTTCAACTTTCCTCCATTGACACAGTACTAATTCAAATATATGTTGATTTGACTTGAAAGGCAGAAAGGCTTGGATATCATACAAGAACATATAAGAGATCATCTTGTATCATACAAGGCAGATTGTTGGATATGGATTATTTTGTAATTTAAAAAGTAAACAGCCATAGCCGGTTTTGCTCAATGGTTAGAGCATTGGCCTGTGGACTGAAGGGTCCCACGTTCAATTCTCGGTCAAGGGCACATACCTTGGTTGCAGGCTTGATCCCTAGCACTGGTCTGAGCATGTGCAGGGGGCAACCAACCTATGTGTCTCTCTCAAATCAATATTTCTCTCTCTCTCCCTTCCACTCTCTCTGAAAAGCAATGGAAAACATATCCTCGGGTAAGGATTTAAAAAAAAAAATTTTTTTTTAAACTAAAGAAAGTAGCTGCCATAAATTTTTGAGCAATGGAGTAGCAGCAATAATAACTACCTCTTATAGCGCATGTGACAATTTACATGTCAAATGTGCTTTATCCCCAACAGCCCTGTTAATTGTGACTTGGAGAAGTAGCAACATGCTCTTAATCACAGGGCTAGTGGGTGCTGCTAGGACCGTATCTTCTAACCCCTGTACTTGGTTCAGTTCTCATACTACTTTAGGAGCAAAACTTTTATTCTAGCAAAGATGTGCTGAGTGTATTTTTGCAGAAAGGGACTGGACTCTAATAAGAAACTGCTCTGTTTTTGTCCTTTATGGAGGATTTGGTTTGCAAAAGCGTTCAGGAATATGATGTACCATAATACAACTTCTGAAATAATCTGTAAGAGCCCACATTAGCAGTTGATACCTATTTTTTGTCATTTTTATACATAATATATATGCTTTACTAATGCAGCTATAGATTTTTTAGCAGGTTGAATCACCTACTAATAATGTAGGGGGAAGGGATTACAGCACTGAACACCACCACCACCCCCGCAGTTGAAAATCCACATATAACAACCCCCATCAAAAAAACTTTAATTACTAATAGCCTATTGTTGATGGAAAGCCTTAAAATAAACAGTTGATTAACAAATATTTTGTATGTTATATGTATTATATACTGTATTCTTACAAAAAAGCTGGAGAAAAGAAAATGTTAAGAAAATAATAAAAAAGAGAAAATAGATTTTCTGTATTTATTGAAAAGGTCTGCATATAAGTGGACTGCACATTTTATGTATTTATTTATTTTTAAATTTTGTAATAGGTTTAATCCTTATTGTTGAAAGTATTACAGATGTCCCCTGTTATTCCCCGCTGGTCCCTCCACCCTGCTCCCATGCCCTCCCCAAGCCTTCCCCACACTATCATCTGTCCATGGGCTATGCATATATGCATATAAGTTACTTGATTAATCTCTTCCTGCCCTCCCCCCGTTCCCTCTGAAATACCTCAGTCTGTTGCATGTTTCAGTGTCTCTGGATCTGTTTTGTTCATCAGCCTATTTTGTTCATTAGATTCCACATATAAGTGAGATCATGTGATACTTGTCTTTCTCTGACTGGTTTATTGGACTGTACATTTTAAACCACTGTTGTTCAAGAGTCAATTGTATTTGTGGTCATCTTTCATTTTGACACATATTCTCTTAAGGGGAATATATAAAATGTTCCACCTACGTCTGTTTTGTCTGAAATTATAACAGAGCTTATATTTTAAACACTAAATATAGATTTTCATGAAATTATAAATTTAAAGTACAAAATTATGGCATATATTTTCAATATGTTAGGTGATTGTGGTCCAAAATTAATTCAGGATGAGCAGTTTTCAGTTTTTATATAATGTGTTTATGCCTCCATTTAACATAAGATAGATACTCAAAATGGAAATAAGTTTACTTTTAAAAAGACAACAGTTTGTAACATTAGACTACCCATTCAAAGTTGTTATGGATTTAAGAGCTAAAGGGTTTCTTATTTTTTAAATATTTTAATTATTCTAGGATGTATCTTTCTAACTTTCAATGTTAATATATTTTGGTCCAGACACATTAAAATTTTACTAACTCATAATCATCTGATTCTTTTTTCCTTGGCATTTCTTAAAATATATTTTATTGGTTGCTTCTTTTTAAAGCTCTGGCTCATTTTATGTACAATATTCTATGAATGCAATCCAGTTCTCCACAGCATTACTTTTTTTATAGTACTTTGCATTATTGTATTATTGACTCACACCCATCTTGTTACCCACTGTTTATAACCACTAGAGCTTTCCCAGTTCAGCATTTCCTTACTCTATATTTGTGCATTTAATTATTCCTGAGTGAGCCACCTTACCTGTCTTCACTGAATCTCATTTTATTGATTTCATCCCAGTTTTCCAATTAGCAACAACAAAAATCATAATATATTTCAATATTCCTTTCCAAAACTAAAAAAGCTGCAAACCAGCATTTGCAGTATTATATGGAGCTCAGGAAGCCAAAATAGTTATATTTTTAAAATGCTCATCTTTCTCTCTTACCCTCAGGAGCAAGCTTTCATGTTCTTTAGTTACCAATTATGTATCGTTATTACACAAGTAATTTTTTAAAGAACAACTTTAAATAAAGGTAAGCAAAGCAAGAAAAATAGAAAGAAACCATTCAACTTGCTTCTGGCCTTCCTTTCTTTGTTTTTTGTCTTTTTTTTCTACTTACCTACCTGAAGTGGTAATAAACATGCAATTAGAGTACACATTTTAGCAACCTGCATTTTCACTTGAAAATATATTCAAAAATCTTTTCATGCCATTAAAACTCTCTAAAGCATCATTTTAATGACTAGTTACATTCATTATGTTCCAGCTTGCTGACGTTAGAAGCACATTCTAAACAATAAGATGCTAGCCATATAGCATTATTATTATATAAGTAGTTGAAAATGTAAAGATGAAGGACCAGACAATGAACTTAGGATTAGCAGCAAAAACAACTAACTTGGAAGAAATAAAAAATTATGTCCAGGCGATCGTGGTTCGATTCCCGGTCAGGGCACATGCCCATGTTGTGGGCCTGATCCCTAACTGGGGGCATGCAGGAGGCAGCCGATCAATGACTCTCCCATCATTGATGTTTCTATCTCTCTCTCCCTCTCCTTTCCTCCCTGAAATCAATAAAGATATATTAAAAAAAAAAAAGACATCTCGCCAGAGAAAGGACAGGAATGGCCAATAAGTACATGAAAGATACTCAACAGCATGAGTCATTAGGGAAAAGCAACTTAAATACTGTTTGATTCACATTAAGATGGCTATAATAAAAAAGACAGAAAGTAGGGCAACTATATGAAAAAACTGAAACCCACAATCCTCATGCATAGCTGTTGGGTATATAGCATAATGAGCCACTTTGAATAACAATTTGGCAATTTCTTTAAAAAGTTAAGCATAAATTTACTATACCAACAAGAAATTCCACTCTGAGGTATCTACTCAAGAGAAATTAAATCCACATAAGGACTTGCACACAAATGTTGATAGCACCATTATTCATAATAGAAATTACCCAAAATGTTCATCAACTTGTAAATGGATAAACAATATATACTATCTCTATAGAATAAAATACTATTAGGCAATAAAAGGCAACAGAGTACATATAGATACTATAATATGGATGAATCTCAAAAAAATTATGGTAAGTGAAAGAAGCCAGCTGCAAAACACCACATATTGTATGATTCCATTAATACAAAATAGACAAAAAAGGCAAATCTCTGGAGAAAAAAAGTAGACTACTGATTTCCCTGGACTGGAAGAGGGAAAGAAGAGTAACTGCAAATGGGTGCAAAGGATCTTTAGTGTGAAGGAAATGTTCTAAAATTGGATTCAGGCAACAGTTGCACAACTCTGTTAATACACTGAAAGTCATTGAATTGTATACTTAAAATAGATAAACTTCATGATATGTAGAAGCAGCTTAATAAAAGCTTAATAAAGCTTTTTAAAAAAATATTAGTCATGAATTGGACAGCAATCAATGTATTGTTGATGAAAGAAACTGAATAGAAAATATTCTTGAAGAGCAGTACAGCAGTGTCTATCGAGATTTTAAATAATACATATCCTCTGACACTGATATTCTTAGGGATTTGCCCTACAGATATATATGTGCACAAACATAGATAAACAAGGATCTTGCCTAAAATGTTGTTTGAAATTTTAAGCATCCCAAAATATTCTAAATGTTTCTTATTAAGGTGATAGTTATATAAATTATATCCACAAAATGAAATACTATGCAGAATTTTTCTTTAAAAAAGAGGCAGATATTTAGGTACTGTTGTATAACATACATTATTAACTGAAAAAAGATTAACATGTGCATGTTCCCACTAGTATAAATATATAAACATGTATATGCATGATGTCTGAAAATATATACCTGAATATTGTCTCTGAATCAGAGTATAACTGGGGAGGGAATAAAGGCCTTCACTTTTAATATATATTATATATATAATCTTTCTACTTTTTAAACTTTCACTAATAACATGTATTACCCTTATAAAAAACAAATAATTAATAAAAAGCCACTAAACTAAAAAGCAAGTTAAGAAAAGAACCAGGTAACTGGGTACTTGGTCACCATTTGGAGATTAACGGTTAAATATAATGAAACTTTCTAAGGTAGAAAAAAGGAACCCTATATTATAGGTAACTTACCATTTTGCAAAAGGATCATCCCAGTAGCTTTTGCACTGATGCAGTGAGGGAAAAGTAGCTCTTAAAATTTTCATTATAGATTACATGTCATTTTACAAGATTAAAAATGGCCAATTCATAGATAGCAGTGAAGACAGTGCTCTGAGAAGAATTAGGAACATTTTTCCACATGCTATTAATGGTGGCAATCTGTTCAGTATGAGCTGTTTTCCTCTGATGGGGGAGTGTAGAAAGACCACCTTCACTCTAAGTACACATCACAGCAGGGGAGTAATGGTAACACTACTATTTATTGTCTACTCTGCTGCTGGGTACTTTACATATACACATTATCTCTAATCCTCACAGCAACTCTGCAAAATAGGAATTAATGTCCTCTTTCTTGCATCAGAGGAAACAGTCTCAGAGAATGAATTCCTTGCAAAAACTTGCATAGAGAGTAAGTGCTAATAGAGTTAGGTCTCCTTGACACCAAAGCTGACACTCTTCCAACAAGTCTTACAGTAAGAAAGAGTGCCATTAGCGAGAACATCTCTCATGATTTGAGCAGCCAAGCATTTTGACTTCAAGGTTGGAATTCTTACCTGTTCATCTACCTCTTGGAAACTGTCAACATCAGTGCCGTTTGTTTCAAACTTTCCACATGTGCCACTAAGAGATGAGCTGCTGTCACTTATGCTACCATCCGGGGTGCTTGTGACACTGTCCCTAGCTGGCCGCGGAGACACAAAGAGGCTGATGTTATCAAAATCATCATCGCAGGACCTGTTCTCAGCATACATCTTCTGTACTTTTGCTGGATTGTAGGGTTTTAGGAAGGAAGAATATACATATCCTTTTACAACTGGATAGGAATTAAAAAAAGAAGAAGAAACAAGGTCATTTGTATACACTTTCCAAACATGTGTGTTTAGAGAAGCCCACAGAGGTCCCTGGGAAAATCTCAACCAGAGGAGGTGGTAGTTCTGTGCACCTTAAGCAAAACACTTACTTCCCGTGTCAACAAGCCACCTGCTCGTACTCCCCAATGGATCTTTCTGCTCCATCACAGCCACCAACTCCCCTTCCAGAAGATTTATGTCATATTCTTGTGTAGCATTGCACTTGCGCTTGGCTTGATACAATTCCTCTGCACTGTAGGTGGATAGAAGTTTGGAGCGGTGAGTGTCAGTTTGACGTGGCACTTCTGGCTGGGAGAGGTAAGGAGAAATTTTGGTTTAGATAGACGTATTATGAAATCCTCACTGGGTTAGTAAATATTCATCCTCTAGAAATTTTTAAAATGTTGAAGCCATACATGGATTTGGGATTACTTCAGTGCTGAGGCATAGATTGGGTTATTATTGTGAAGTATCCAGCTGAGTTACACAGTGAAAATATCTCTAGTTAGCACAGGAGGGCAGTGTTGTAGAGAAGAAAGAAAATTCAATGAAAATAAGAAGGCAGAGGTTCTAATCCCTCTAGTATGTTGAACAAATTTTTAGTTCTTTGTCATACTGTAGACATTTCCTTGCATATTAAGCACTTGGTAAATAATATTTAATTAAGTAAATTGTACATGTGCATGTCTCTTTTTTTCTGGGAAATAATGTCAGTAAACTAGGCAGGGGTCAAGAGGTCTGGCCTCATGCCAAGTCTACCATCAAGTGACTTTGGGAGAGCGACTTCATCTCTGCAGCCTGGAGTTCCTTATCTAGAAAAAGTAAAAGTTTTGAACTATGCAACTGTACTCTATAAAATGATATTCTTTATTCAACAGGTACTTATGGAGTGTCTACTTTATATCAGACACCATTTTAGTTGCTTGGAATAAATACACCACGTACAAAACAGATAAAAATCTATAAGCTTATAGAATTCATAGTATAGAGGGTAAAAATAGACAAAAAATCTGATCTGCGTAATATAAGTGTGTAAATTATTGGATATTAAAATGAGATAAGTGACATGGAAAATAATATATTATGACTTAAATAAAGCAAAGAAGTGAGTCATCGTCGTGAACGTTACAAACTCACCAGAATCTGCACAGGCTTCTTCTTTTCAAAACTAAGTTTCCTCTCAATAAATGTGGCACTGTTATCCTTTACAAAATTCAGATTTTGAATCTCTTCCAGTACTCTATTCTGCACTTCAGAGATGTTTGAAACCAACAGTGGTACCTATAGGTAGAAATAATATGGCATTGTTCCCAGAAAACTACTTAACCATGTTAGTACTGAATTTAGTAGAGCTGTGAAGGACAGTTGAGAAAGTACAAGATAGCTCCGCAGTGAAAAATTAGGTCAACATGAGAACTCCTAGATAAAAATGGCCTAATTTTCTTTCTTCTTTCTTTCTTTCTTTCTTTCTTTCTTTCTTTCTTTCTTTCTTTCTTTCTTTCTTTNCTTTCTTTCTCTTCCTTCCTTCCTTCCTTCCTTCCTTCCTTCCTTCCTTCCTTCCTTCCTTCCTTCCTTCCTTCCTTCCTTCCTTCTTTCTTTCTTTCTCTCTCTCTCTTTCCTTTCTTTCTTCTTTCTTTTTCTTTCTTTCTTTCTTTCTTTCTTTCTTTCTTTCTTTCTTTCTTTCTTTCTTTCT